GTAGAGGGGACAGAGTGCTCTCAGGAAGCAGAGGCCATGGCGGCAAGCAGGTGGATATTCTGGCTAGAGAAAGGGGTGGCCAATATATTGAGCTATTGAGGACGTTGCATCATTTGTTTTACCACAGGCAGGAGTGGGGGTTGCAGAAGTCAGAGGAGAATAACAGAAGAAAGATGACCCATAAGAAGGCACTCAGACCAAGGGCAGACCAGCATTAAAAATGGAAAGGGGATGGCACTTGTGGTGGGCAGAAAAGTGGCCCCCAAGATGTTCACATCCTAATCCCTGAACCTGTGAATATGGTATCTTGCATGGCAAAAGGAATTTTGCAGCTGTGATTAAGTGAAGACTCTAGAGATGGGGAGACTATCCGGGGTTATCCAGGTGGGCCTGATGTTATCACAAGGGTCCTTCTAAGAGAGACGTGGGAGGATCAGAGAAGCAGACATGATGATGAAACTGAGGTGGGAGTGATATGATACCAGCCAAGGAAGCTGGTGGGCCCTAGAAGCCAGAAAAGGTAAAGAAAAAGGTCCTCCCTGACGTCCTGCAGAAGGAACATAGTTCTGCTGACCCATTTTAGACTTTTGACTTTTTGAACTTGGTGATAATAAATGTGTGTTGCTTTAGCCGCTAAGTTTGTGGTAATTTGTTACAGCAGGAAAAGGAAATTAATACAGTACCTTAGCTACATGGAATTTAAATTAAAACTAAACTATAAAAGATATATAAGGAAGTCCAAGAAAGTTTTGGCTTTTTTTATGATGACCTTTATTTTGTTCTGAAATACCAAATTATTTTTAAAATGTGGATGTGTCCCTGCTTTGCAGTGGCCTAAGTACATGTGTGCAGTATCTACTCTGCAATCCAACACTGGCTGGCAAGAGAGGACCTGGGGATAAAAAATTTCGGGTACAACAGGGATGTGTGGTTTTCGGGGAACGGGGTGGGGATGGGGGGGACTTGCTGTCACCAGTACAGACAGTACTGAGCGAAGGCAGTTTGTGCTCCTGTTGTCAGAGGCCTGACAGTGTTACAGACGTGATTTGCCTCCAGAGTTCTGGGGCTGGTACAGGTGGAGATCTGGGCCTGCTCCTGGCCAAGTAACACTACAAAGGGGCCTTTGGTCTTCATGGGACTCCTGTATTGTCCCCTGATCCTCGCTCTCATCACGTGAGTTAGGCAGATGGCGGCTACCTGTTGATGGGTCAGAGTGGGCAGGCTATGACAGCTACATGAAAGGGGAGGATCTTGGGGGGTACATGGACCAATGAGGTTTAGAAAGCAAGAAGAGACACAGAGGCCTTCAAACATGGGTAAAACTCTGAAATGTCAAGGCGAGGCAGAGGCAACCAGGAGCCAATGCATGAACCATCCCGACAGGCACGGAAGAAGCTCTGTGTTGATGCACGTCTGCAGATGGGGCTAGACTGGGGCCTTTGATTCCAGACTGATGTATGTGGACTTGATGTCATAGGTGACAGGGTGAAAAGAATGCCTTAGGAAATTACATGAGATGGGTTAGATGATGGGCAAGGAGAGAGAAGAGGGAAATATTTTAATATTAACCTCAAAACAAATGAAAATAATATTTTGAAGTTTAAATCAAATCAAGATAGGCACATTTCACTAGTAAGGAAGAGAAAATGCCTTTAAATGTTCTGTCAAGAGAAGGTGTTTATACCCTTGTATATTCATTATCCCAGATGGTAAAATAAATTGTAAAATATAATACAGTTTACATTCTCTTGTACAAAAATTTAAACAGAACTACAGATATGTAAAAACCTATGTATAAATAAAATAAGCATACTCTCCTAAAACACACACACACACACACACACACACACACACACACACACACACACACGGGTTTTCTTTGTAGAAAATGTATCAGATTTGCAAGATGAAGTTGATAACGTGTGCATGTGTGTGTCTGAATGTCACTGGTACATGTTCTACAACTTGAATATTAGGATGGAAATGATAAATTAAGAGTAAAGCAATACTTTAACATTTTTTGATAGTTTTACATTCAGGATATGCAAGCTATTTTGTTATTTCAACATTTCAGTGTCAAAAGCTGAAGCGTTCCACCTCAGCTGGCTGACCTGCATGTAATTATTATAATACGTATTTGCACTATGAAAATGGTCATTAATAGTCCAGAGCACAATGTCGATACAAAATTCAGTTCAGTCTGATGTGCTCCTTCTTGGAAGGCAGGCAGGAATCATCTGCCTTTTTGATCCTACTGAAGCCTATTTTCAATTTTTAAACCATGCTTACTTCATCTTAGAATATAAATGTCAATATAGAGTAACACTGTATCTTGAACACAAGCATCTTCTTAGGTCATCAGGACAAACCAGACATAATAACTAGTAAGCTTCATTCTTCTCATTCAAGGTCAGATGAGGCCCCCTCTCAGCATGGAACGCCTAGTAAGCTCATTACTTGGACATTCCACTGACTATTAACCTTCTACTTCATATTGTTATCATGCTCTATGGGCATATCTTACATCCCAAGTATATGGCAAGATTTTGAGAAACCACATCATAAACTCCTCAATGTTACAGTCTAGGTCTTACATCATGCTTTGCATACACAGAACCTTAAAAACCTGAGTAGCTTGACTATTAAATTATGAGTAAAGAGAAAGTCACTCCAACATGTCAGACGTGTCTGCTTTCTGGTATACTAACTTACTGTCATTTTCAGAGTTGACAAACATCACTGCTCATCGCCATTCAATGGGCAATTTCACAGACTCTCATTCCATACCCTCCAAAGAGAACCCACTCCTGTATTTACATGTCCCAGACTAGACTGTCCTCTTACTTAGTGCTTTCCAGTACCTCTTCTGTCAGATCTCTGTAGCATTGAGGGAGAAAAGTTATATGACCCATTCCTAACTATTACACCATAATTACATACATAATTATTACATAATTACACCCAATATCACCCTAAGGATTGATTTCAGGAATAGAAATCCCCCATTTTCCCCCTGGTGGCTTTTTAGTTAACACCAGATCATGGAAAAAATCTGGGAGAGATATTCTCTTTTCTGTAGGTGTTCTTACACTAGTTGATGAAACTTAAAGTATCTTAAAGGAGAAATTATGAGAAGTTATGAGATGAGGGGAGAGAATGCAGGCGCTAGACAGAGAATCGAATACTTTGCCGCCATCAGCCAAAACTTGCCTTGCTCCAGAATTAGAACAAACTTCACCCCAAGGCCCAAATATCGGATTCAATCCTTGGTAGAGGTGAGAGAGGATCTGTGTCCTCGGATCCTGATCTGAGGAAATAGCACAAGTCTCATTGCTAAGGAACTGCTCCATTCGTGGCCAATTTTGTAACATGTAAGTTCTAACCTCAGTCATTGACTGTTCCCACGTGGCTTCTGGTGGCCTTGAGACCCTGGGCAGTGAGTGATCCCCTTCCACTCTAACCTGTGGCCTCTGGTTGAACCTTGAATCCTGCACCCTGGCTGGACTACATCTGCCCTTGGAGGTCATGGCACCGGATGGGCTTTGGCCAGCGCCTGGTCTGGCCCACTCTACTCTGCTGATCTGCAGTGACCACGGCAGCAAAGCACAGCGAGAGGGGGAAAGGCTGGCCACGAGTTACACTGGACTGCCCTAGTCACTGCAGCCCCCTTTAAAGACTTTCTACACTCGGAAGAGGTTTCACGGAGGTCATTCAACATTGACTCATCATATGAGCAGGCACTGTGAGGAGACATGAGAGAAAAGGAAGAAGCGATCCTTTACCTATGGAACTTATATGCTTTTGGTGGAACAAACACCCGAAATCTCAACAGGTGGCAGCAATGTGGGGTGGCAGGGACCTAACTCCTAAGTAGGAACTGCACAGTCCTTAAAACCTTCTACCATAGTGGACCTCAATCCTGAACACAGAAGCCCTGAGGAGGTTCTCAAGCTACAGGTTTCCAGGCTCCACCGCCTGAGGTTCCAGTTTAGTAAGTCTTGGAAATACCCACCCAAGCATGTTTTCCAAAGCTTCACAAAAGTATCTGATGTGAAGCCTGGGTTGAGAAACAATGAGAGGATATTTAGTATTTCTTAAACGTGAGGCGCCAGCACTTGGTTTCTCAATCTTTCCTTTTTTTGCACTACATCTTCTCCCCTATTCTATCGCCATGTCTATGGTTATAATTATTAGCCCTTCCACATAATAAAAGTACTAGATGTAACTCCATCGATGTCATGAAAAGTAAAGCAAATAAAAAGTTTTAGCTTCTCGCTGGTTAAAATGCAATATAATGATGCAGATCTGAGGTAATTTTTTTTATATAAATTGTCCCTAAAATACTGAAAATGCAGACTGAGAAGGATAGGGCAGTAGATTTGGTACCTTGGGTAAAGATGATCCCCTAAAGCTGCAGGTCCCCGGTGCCAGTAGCCACTTGGTCAAGCAAGTTCCCATAAGCTGATCTGGGGATCTTTACAGTTAGGCAGGATCTGATTTAGGGGTCTCACTGTCTCCTCTAAAATGCTGCCTGACACATCATATCCATGCAGGACATCAAAACAGATCCCTCAAGCCCAATCCTTGGGTGGACATATGCAAGTAATATCAGCTAATAAAAAGAAAGACTAACACTTATCAAGAGTTTATTTTGTGCATGTTGCATCCTATGTCTGTTACATGTACAACTGGTTTAATCCTCCAACAACCCAAGGAGGAAGATATGGTACTTTCCTGACTTTCGTGATGAGGAAACTGAAGCACAGAGAGGCCAAATGACTTGCCCAAGGTCGTAGAGCTGGTAGGTAGCAGCACTGGGTTTGAAACCCAGGAGTCCAGCTCTGGAGCACACATTCCAAAACACTAAGGCTTTGATTAGTTTCGCTATGTCCTTTTCCAGCAACTACAATTTAAATAAGCTGGTGTGCTATCAATTTAATTTTAATTAATTCTCTTAAGTGTTGATTCCTTGCAAAACTATAAGACCTTCAGTGGTTCACCTTGGAAAACAGTTCAACGGGTGTGGCTACAGCCTTCTGTTCTTTCGAGTATTGCTCCCAAGACCACATGTCCTGTGCAGCCGCTGAAGGGACTAGAAAGAAAAACACAATGACTTTTCTTGAAACAATTAGTGACAAAAAAAATAATAAAAATTAATTGAAGATAAACCCAAGAAGCAGGCTAATTAATTAAATTGGGAATGAGAATACCCGGCCACTAATAAGAGCCTTCTCTCTCACTTTCTGTGAGCATTTAGTAAAATCATCTAACTACTCTGCTTTCAGCTTTTCCTGTTTTAGAACAGGCTTATGAATATATCCCAATGCCAAGAGGACTCCTGGTGAACATCTCACTTCTCTCACAGAACAGTGAACAGGCACAGGTTCTCTAGAAGATGATTGGGTTAATTTTAAGGTGAATGAATCAAAAATATTTTTATAATATCCTTTCACTTTCATACCTTTTTTTGGTGTGAATGTAAATTAGTAAAACCTGTAGGAAGGCAATGTGGAAATATATGTCAAAAGCCTTAAAAATTATTCACATACTTTGAGCCAATGACTCTCCTTCTAGGAATTTGTCTTAATACAAATACAGTGGATGCACCCAAGGGACAAACACCAGGGTTTTTATATTAGAATTCCTTATAGTCATGAAATATTGAAAACAAACTAAGGTGCACTAAGAGGGAGTTAATTAATGCATTGTATAGACATGTCATTTTAATAACTAGCCATAAAATTACATTGTAGCAGATTGTTAAATGGTAGAGAAAGGCTATGTTATGACTACATGACTAAGTAAAAAAAAAAAAAGCAGTTTAGAAAACAAAATGAATCTTTTGTAAAAAATATTAGGTTGGTGCAAATGTAATTGCAGTTTTTGCATTGTTGAAATTTGCCTTTGATATTGGAATACATTCTTAAATAAATGTGGTTATGTTATATATCATTTTAATGTGCATTTCTTGCTTCATGTTTTTTTTCTAATGACCTATTATTTGCTGTTTATTTTATATGTATTCTAGACTATGGAAATGATGTTAGACAAAAAGCAAATTCAAGTGATTTTCTTTTTTTTTTTTAAAGATTTTTATTGGGGAATTGAGAGAAGGGAAACAGACAAGTTGCTGCCGTTTTTTGTCCTTCAGTCTAGTTGTGGAGGACGTTGCTTCACTGGCCCAAGTTAGCACCATCATTGTGCTCTTCCCAGGAGGGGCAGATCAGTTGCTGTCTTCTTGAGGGCCACTCACAGCGGCTGCTAGATGCTCACACTGGCTGCTGGCTACACACAGTAGCCCATGACAACCCACTGCCACAGGGGCTGCAGCCTATGCCATCACCAGCGACTCACAGCAGCCCAGCTCCAGGTCGAGCTGTTGTTCAGCATCTTAGCTGTAGAGGGCAATGTCACTGGCCCTCATATGTGGGATCCGAACTAGGGCCCTCTGGCGTCCCAAGCCAGTTCTTAACCATCGCGCCACTCAGCCGGTCCTCAAATGATTTTCTTATTCGAGTTCAAAATGGGTCATAAAGCAGCGGAGACAACTCACATCAACAACGCATTTGCCCAGGAACTGCTAATGAACGTATAGTGCAATGGTGGTTCAAGAAGTTTTGCAAAGGAGATGAGAGCCTTGAAGATGAGGAATGTAGTGGCCGGACATTGGAATTTGACAATGGCCAACTGAGAGCAATCATCGAAGGGGAGAAGTTGCCAAAGAGCTCAACGTCGACCATTCTATGGTCGTTCGACATTTGAAGCAAATTGGAAAGGTGAAAAAGCTTGATAAGTGGGCGCCTCATGGGCTAACTGCAAATCAAAAAAAATCATCATTCTGAAGCATTGTCTTCTCTTATTCTATGCAACGATGAACCATTTCTTGATCAGATTGTGATGTGCGATGAAAAGTGGATTGTATACGACAGACAACCAGCAATGACCAGCTCAGTGTTTGGACATAGAAGAAGCTCCAAAGCACTACCCAAAGCCATATTTGCACCAAAAAAAAGTCATGGTCACTGTTTGGTGGTCTGCTGCCGGTCTGATCCACTACAGCTTTGTGAATCCAGGTGAAACCATTACATCTGAGAAGTATGCTCAGCAAATCGATGAGATGCACCGAAAACTGCAACACCTGCAGCCGGCACTGATCAATAGAAAAGGCCCAATTCTTCTCCACAACAGCACCCGACCGCATGTCGCACAATCAACGCTTCAAAAGTTGAACAAATTGGGCTACAAAGTTTCACCTCATCCACCACATTCAGCTAACCTCTCGCCAACCGAGTACCTCTTCTTCAAGCATCTCGACGACTTTTTCAGGGAAAACACTTCCACAACCAGCAGGATGCAGAAAATGCTTTCCAAGAGTTTGTCGAATCCCAAAGCATGAATTTTTATGCTACAGGAAAAACAAACTTATTTCTCATTGGCAAAAATGTGTTGATTGTAATTATTCCTATTTTGATTAATAAAGATGTGTTTGAGCCTAGTTATAATGATTTAAAATTCACGGTCCGAAAATGCAGTTACCTTTGCACCAACCTAAGATGTAATGGAAATAAAAAGACAAATTATTATATAAATCAAAATCTTATATAAAGTCATCTTTAGCTGCTAGGATTATAAAAATTTCTTCCCAATATTCTTTGTACTTTGTTTTTCTGCTTTCAAAATTTTCTAGGTGAATAGCTATCCTTTGTAATTCAATAAAATATCATTTTTAAATAATAAAAATTTGGAGAAAAGGGTCAATTATTGTTTTAAGCTTATATTCTATGTCTCAGTAATTCACCCTCTAGTATTACTTGCTAAGGAAAGAGTCATAATAAAACATAATTGTAAAAATGTACATCACAACATTATTACAACAAAAATGCGAAATAAAATTGATGTGGAAGAAATGTTAAATAAATTATGCTATATATGTACAAATATGATTATGAAGTTTTCAAAATCCATATTTTTTAAATAACAAAATATCTTAAGAATTTTCTTGGATAAGTAAAAATCAAAGTAAAGACATGAAACAGTATATATAACACAATCCTAATTTTAAAATACAAATTATTACACAAATTAAAACATTCAGTTATTGAAAATACTTATAAAGCACCTTCTTTGTGCAAGGTAATATAAATATATGCGTGTCCACACATAAAAACCCACACACATAGAAAAACATTTGGAAATAAACAGCAAAATATTAACAGTGGCTATATGTGGGTGGTGGGATTAATGTAAATATTCTTTTCTCGTTTCTTTCTACAATTTTAAAATTCTCTATAAATATTATTACTTAACTCCCCTACACACACACACACACACACACACACACATCCTTAGAGAAGGCTTGTCAACATTTTTTAACATTTATCTTGCTGCAAAATGTTCCAGAAGGTACAGATGGTGAAAAGTCAGAACTGCATTAGCACTGGTGGTGACAGGTGGCAAGATATACCTCTAAGTCAAACATCTGAAACATTTCAAGACAATAAAGCAACTTGATGGAATCACAACATAAAAATCCATCAAGTTATACAAGAAGAATTAATGTAGACTTTTAATCATTTAAAAAATATATTTTGAGCTCCTCTTAATGTATCAAGAAGTTTGCTGTCTTCTGGAATAAAAATATAACCCAGTCCCTGGTCTCGTAGATGAAAAATAAATAAACAAAACATTATTTTTCTGTTGCTATTCGTACAGAGGGTGCCAAAAAATGTATACATGTTTTATGAAAGGAAAAAAAACTGTATTAAAATTGTAATGCTCAATATATACCGATAACAAAAGATGAATACAAGTCATGATTGATTTCTGCAATTACAAGAGGTGCTCAAAGCGGTTACCATCAGCCTCCAAACACTCTGACTACGGTGAACTGCTGCTTGAGCAACGTTGACCAAAGTTTCCACTTGTATACATTATTTGGCACCCCCAGTTGATATCTGACAAAAAGGGAGTATTTTATGCTTAGGTAATAAAGAAAAAATTATATTAATTTATAGTTTTAAAATAGGCACACACAGAGCGTGCACATTTACTATTTATTAATCACAACACACTAACTTGTTATTGCAAAACGATACACTTACTAAAGTATGAGTATTTTAATAATCAAATAAGGCTAACAGAATTGTCATGATGGATTTTCTTGCTTTGTTTGAAAACAGTGAGACATCATAGTGTGATTTCCATGGAGGAGCTTATAGTCTGTTGGCCAATTATAGCACTTAAAGATTTGTTGACATTTTTACCACTGCATGAGACATTTTATTTTTCTAAACAGAGGAATCAATTTGACAAACCCTGAAGATGATCTGGCAAGATTATTCAACATCCCTCTTTTCACATAAACATTTTACTACATTATAATTATATGCTTTACAAAAAATATTACAGCAGTGTAGGCTCCAAAGCAAATATAGATAACTCATTTTCTACAACAGCTGTGTTCTTAAAAAGATTGTGTGTAATTTCTCAATTTAATCATATTTCCAATTGTCATACATTTTCATTTCATCAGAAGTAAATCATATTTAAGACCTTCTTTTATGATCACATGAGTATGCAATGAACCTTTTAAAATTTATCAGGAAAAGAAAACATAATATCAGACAATAACAGCTTTCAATGAATTAAATTTTTGTAAAGCCAGTGAGTGAGCAATATAGTGCCGGCAGGGGAGATGAGGGAATACCCGGAGCCTGTAGACGGGCCTTCCCTCATCACTGATTCTAAAGGATTCTATCACCCTTTTATGTTTCTTCATTCACCTTGTGTCATTCTTTATCACTGGGATTATATTAGCAGAAATTAACATTAGCTGAAATGAACCAGTTTGCTTATTTAGAATTAGAATGTAAGGAAGGTCCTAAAAAGAAGGGATCTTGCTTTTCTTGTTCATCATTGTGTCCCGGGAGCTATAATCATGCCTGGACATAAATATTTGTTTAATGAGTTAAAGGGCAGGCAGGCAGGTAGAATCGTACTTCTGGCTTTAAAAATTAATTCAAAGGTATCTATTATGATCAATTCATTTCTCAACTCCCTGGAGGGAAGGAACAAATTATGAGACAGCTCTGC